CACGCTGAAGTCGAAGCTCTCCTCGGTGACAAATCTAACATCTAGGGGGACACTGGGAGTGAGCCCTGGCCCCTCTCCCCAGGGGGGAAATATGGGGGACATGCAGCACTGGCGCTGCCGTACCTCGGTCCTCGGCCATCGCCTCAGGGCACCGGGGCCACCTGCGGGAGCTGGGGTGGTCACCACCGACCCCACCGTGGTTCCCCACCCGTGCCCCTACCCGCCCCTCCGTGTCCCCAACCCCCCGCGGGGGCCTGGTGGCACCGGCCAGCGTGCGGGTGACACGGCCAGTGCCAGGCACTGCCGGGCTCGGTGCCACCGGGATGGGGACAAGGATGGCTCCGCCGGCGCCAGTAGGCGGGGTGACACCGGCGACCTCCGCCAGGGACCACAGCGCAGCACCCCCAGCCCGGGTGTCCTCAGTGCCACAAGGGGAAGTCCCAGCCCCTCACCCTGATCCGTGTGAGTCCCCAGTGCCACAATGGGGTGGTTCCCAGCCCCTATCAGGGAACCCCAGCCCAACACCGAGGGGGCGCAACCCCGCTGGGAGGTTGCAGCCCCACACCCAGGGGTCCCAGCCCCACACCTACACTCTGACCCCGGCGGCCCCCCAGCCCCAAATCTTGATCCTCAGGGGGTCCCAGCCCCATGCAAGGGGACTCCATTCCCGTAGCTAGGGGTCCCAGCCCTGCATCCCGATCCCGAGGGAGTCCCATCCACATTCCTAGGCCTCCCAGCTCCCAGGCGGGGGGTGTCAGCCCCAAACCCCGACCCTAGGGGTTCCATTCCCACTCCTTGGCCTCCCAGCCGCACACTGTAGGGTCTCAGCCCATGATGGAGCGATCCCCCCCCCACACCTGGGGAATCCCCCAGCCACGCACCCCCAGCCCAGGAGACCCCAGTCCCACATTAGGGGGTCCCAACTCCAGGCTAAGAGGGTTCCGGCCCCAATGACGAGTCCCAGCCCGGACCCCAATCCCTTCGTGACCCCAGCCCCACATTGAGAAGGTCCCAGCTCCCACCGGGGGTTCAGGCCCCACAGCCCCAGCCCTGGGGTCCTCAGCCCCTACCAGGAGGTCCCAGCCCCTCACCCCGACCCCACGTCTCCCCATCTCCGCATAGGGTTGTTTACCCGGCGCTCAGCGGCCCACCCGATCTCCCCGCCGGTCTCCCCTCTACCCGGGGGTCTCGGTCTGCCCTCGTCCCCCCTCTCCCCCACCACCTCACCGCCCCCGGCTCCCGCTCGTCGCGCGCGCCAAGGAGGCGTGGCCTAACGAAAGGGCGTGGTCTCGTTCGAATTCCCCCTCCCCTTGCGGCTCAATCGCGGCGCGCCCGCCCCGGGTTCCGATTGGCTCGCGCCCTTTAAACCTCCACTCCGATTGGCCAGTCTCCTCGCCTTTCGCCTCACTGATTGGCTCTTCCGCTCCCCTGCGCTCCGCCTCCATAAGCTGGGGGCGTGGCCCGGAAGCGTGGCAGCTGAGGGTCGTTCCGCCGTCGGTGCCTCCGCAGCATGGCCGCCGTCCCGCCCGACTCCTGGCAGCCGCCCACCGTTTCCATGGAGACCACGTAAGGGGCGGGGCATCGCTCCGGTACCGGCACCGGCACCGGCACGGGAGTCCCTGCACCCCTTGTCGCGCCCCCTTCCGCGGCACTGGTGGTAAATCGGTGTCCGCTCCCTCTCCCCCCGACTTCCATGCAGCCCCAGTGTTCTTGAGTCCGTGGTCCTCCCGGGGCAGTCCGCGGTGTCCGTGATCCCCCGGTATAAGGCACATCTTGAACTCCACAGGTGGAAGAAGCTCCCAGTGTCTCCAGAACGGGACAGCTCCGTTATCCCCCAATATGAACCAGTCCTGGTTTCCGCCTCGTTACTAGAGGGCCTCTTGTTCCCCCGGTGTCCCCCATGGTGTTCGTAACCCCCAGACCCTCGGTACCAGGCAGATCCTAGTGACCCCGTAGTATCCCGTTTGCCCCAGTGTCTCCCGATACCGCACAGAACCAGTCAGTCCTGGTTGTTTCCCCTGGTACCAAGAGCCATCCATGTCCTCCTGGGGTCCCATTGCCCCCCATCCCCTCTCACCCCTCTGGTCCCTGTCCCTGGCTGACCCTGGGGATGGGGGGGAGGGGAGTGAGGGGTCACGTTGAGGTGTTTCCTGGTACCCTTCCTGTTCCCATTTCCTATATTCCTATTTCCCATTCCCTGGATGGGCCTGCTTGGTGCTGGAGCTGTACTAACAGCACAGCCCCCTGACTTTGGTCTGAAACTGAGGTTGGGGGTCACAGTGGGATGACGCTGCTCTGCAGCTGCAAGAATTGACCCTATATGTGGAGGAGTTCACAGCAGGGTGACCCCCCCCCCATCTCCTGTTTCTGTTCCTGGTTCTGTTCCCCACTCCCAGTGTTGTTCCTGTTCCTGGTTTTCCCATTCCCAGGATGGGCTCTCCAGTGCTGGAGCTGTACTGGCAGACAAAGCCCCTAGCTTTGGTCTGAAATTGGGTGTGGGAGTCACAGTGTTATGATCCTCTCTCCCATTCCATTCCTGCTGTTCCCATTCACAGAATGAGCCTGCTGGTGCTGGAGCTGCACTGGCAACACAGCCCCTGGCTTTGGTCTGGAGCTGGGGATGTGGGTATCACTTTGGGATGACCCCATTTCCTTTTCCCATTACCATTCCTGTTCCCCATTTCTGATGCCTTTCCCATTCCCATTCCCTATGTTCCCATCCCAGGATGGGCCCACTTGTGCTGGAACTGTACTGGCAACACGCCCCCCGCACCTGCAAGAACTTTGCTGAGCTGAGCCGCCGCGGGTACTACAACGGCACCAAGTTCCACCGCATCATCAAGGACTTCATGGTGCAGGGAGGGGACCCCACGGGTACTGGTGAGCGCAGGCCTCTGAAATCTCCCTGGGACCTTCCCTGATGCCAGGGGTTCCTGCTGACCCCTGAATCCCTCTGCAGGCCGTGGTGGCGCCTCCATCTACGGGAAACAGTTTGAGGACGAGCTGCACCCTGACCTGAAGTTCACTGGTGAGTGGGGCCAGCACTGGAAGAACACTGGAGGGGCATCCCTGGGACCCCAGGACCCCACCTATAGAGGGGCAGGACCCCTGAGAACACACCTGCGGGATGGGATGGGATGTCCCCTGTGTCCTTGTCCATGGAGTGACATGACTTCCAGGACTCCAGTCATGGGGTGGCATGTCTCAAGGAGGCTGGTCATGGAGTATGTCCTCCAGGACCCTGGCCATGAGGTGACATGTCTCCCCTGTCCCCCAAGATCCCATCTATAGTGTGACAAGTCCTCTGTGTCCCCAGAACCCCATCCGTGGAGTGACGTGACCCTGAGGAGCTTTGCCATGGGATGCCCTGTCCTCTATGTCCCCCATTCCTGGTATGATGTGTCCCTGTTCCCCACAGACACCAGGATCCTGGTGATAGCCAACATGGGGCTGGACACTAACAGGAGCCAATTCTTCCTCATGTTCCCCTAAGACCTCTCAATTGAATGACAGTTTCCCCATGACACCAGAACCTCAGTCAGGGGATGACATGTCCCTGAGACCCCATCTATAGGGTGGCATGTCCTCCATGTCCCCCAGGACCCCATCCCTGGCGTGGCATGTCCTCCAAGACCCTGGTCATATGATGGCATGTCCCTCAGGTTGCCAGAACCCTTGGCCCATGTCCCGCAGGCACTGAGATGCTGGTGATGGCCAGTATAGGGCTGGACAGCAATGGGAGCAAGTTGTTACTGATGTACGCTAAGAACCCTCTGTCAGGTGACAGGTTCCCCAGGAGCCTGTCCATGGGGTGACATGTCCCAAGAATTGCAGCCATAGGATGATGCCCTCCGGGATCCCAATCTTGGAGTGATATGTTTTCCATGATACCGGGATCTTGGCCATGAGACGACATCTCCCCATGGGATGACATGTCCCCCATCATGCTGGAACCTAGGCTGTGGGGTGGCATGTTCCCTGTATCCCCATCCATGAGGTGACATGTCCCTATGTCTCACAGGCGCTGGGATCCTGGCAATGGCCAATGCAGGGCCGGACACCAATGGAAGCCAATTTTTCCTGACACTGGGCCCGGCACAGTGGCTGGATGGGAAGCACAGCATTTTTGGGAGGGTGTGCCAAGGAATGGGGGTGCTGGGGCGCCTAGCCATGGTGGAGACCAACTCCCAGGACCGACCCCTCGACGATGTAAAGGTCATCAAGGCGTATCCATCGGGATAGGGATGTGGGGTGCCCTCCCTCCAGATTGTACTGCTCGTTTGTAATAAAGGATGTTGGATGTGGTGGGCTCCCCTACAGAGTGATGGTTTTACGGGGAGGTGGGGGAAGTGTCTTTGGCATAGTGGGGTCTGGGAGGTTGTGAGCCCCACCCAAAGGGTTTGTGGGTGCCCTTGGAGGGGTGGGTGTCTCTCCTTGAGGACATGGAGCTCCCAGTGGCCTGAGTTCCTGGGTGTGCAGAGTGGATGCCAGAGACCCAAATTTACCTCTACTGTGTTGTGTCTGTGTGTCCTCAAAGTTTCCTGGGACTGCCCAGAGTGTCCTTCCACCATGGACCAGCTGGATCACTGAGCTTTGGGTGGAAAGGGGGGTCCAGAGTGGAAAGGGAAGCCCAGAGTGGGCTTCCCACACAGCACTGGGGACCTTCAAACTGGCAGTGGGGTCCTCATGCCAGTACATACTGGGTTTCCCCCCACTGGGCACTAGGTAACCCCCCCCAGCAATGGGTATCCCCTCTGGCTCTCGATGTCACCCCCGTTGCTCCTAGTGCAGGACCTGGGACAGTACTGGGAGCTGCTGGATATTACCAGAATGGTGCAGGGGAGATACTGGGAGCTACTGGGAGATAGCAGAGGACTGGGGGACTCTGTATCTGCAGTTGGTGGGGCTGTGGGGATACTGGGAAGGTTCTGATTAAGGGAAGTAGGGAGACTGGGGCTTCATTCTGGGGAGTGGGTGGTATCGAGAGTGTCACTATGGCACAGGGGGGCGCACTGGGAGTGTCAGAGGGGTGCTGGCGTTACTGGGGAGAGAGCACCGAGGGTCTGGTCTGGGGGGGATCCCCGGGGCGGTACCAATGGTCCGTGGTGTACCGGGGTCTGGAGCCAGCCTCGGGGGCAATCCCAGGGCAGTAGCGGTGGTCTTAGGGCGATCCCGCGGCTGATCCTTGATACCCGTGTCCGGGGTCACTGGGGATGAGGAGGCGGCACTGGGGACGGTGCGGGGAAAGGCACCGGACTTCCTCGGACTGATGCCGGGGATCTGAGAGCTATCCTGGGGACAGTACCGGTGGTCCGAGGCGGTACCGGGAGTGGTGAGGCGGCCTCGCGGGCGATGCGGGGGAGGCGCCGGTGGTCAGGGGAGGTACAAGGGATTTGGTGTTGATCCCGGAGCGATCCGGGGGATCTCGGGGACAGTACCGGGCTTCCAGGGGGGAACCGGGCTGTGGAGGCGGCCCTGGGGTTGATACGGGGGTCATCCCGGAGATCTAGGGGCGTTCCCGAGGCGGAGCCGGAGGGGTCCCGCGGGGAGGCACCGCGGATTTGGAAGCAGGCCTGGAGGCGGTGCGAGGGTAGATCCCAGGAATCTGGGGGTGATTCCGAAAATTTCGGGGCGATCCCAGGGGCAGTATCGAGGGTCCGGGATGGTACCGGGGAAGGGGAGGCGGCCCCAGGGGCGATCGCGGAGGCGGTACCGGGGATCTGGGGACGATCCCGGGGGCGGTCCCAAGCCGGTCCCGGTCTCCCCGCTGGCGATCGCGAAGAAGACCCCGGGGCACTCCCTCGGTGCGGGGCCGGTGCCGGTGCCGGGAGCCCCGGGCGGTGCCAAGGGCGGTCCCTGTCTCTCGGCGGGTGGTGCCCAAGAAGACCCCGGGGCACTCCCACGGTGCGGGGCCGGAGCCGGTGCCGGGAACCCCGGGCGGTGCCAAGGGCGGTCCCGGGGCGGAGCCCATCGCGATCGCGATCGCGGTGCTGGTGCCGGTGTCGGGGCAGCGACGGAGCCCGGGGCATGGCGGGCCTGGGCGCCTCGGAACCGGGCACCGGCCCCGGTCCCGTCCCGGCCACTCGCGTGGAACTCACGGTGTCCTGCAGGTAGCGAGGCTGCGGCGGGAGCCGGCACCGGGCGGCGGGGGCGCGGGGAGGCGCTGGTGCTGGCATTGGAAGGTGCTGGGAGGCACTGGGTTGCACTGTGGTGTAGGGTAGCTGCCGTTGGAGGGTGCTGGGATGCACAGAGAGGCACTGGGAAGCACTAGGGAGCGACTTTGGAGGGTGCTGAGGTACACTTGGAGGCACTGAGATCCCGTGGGTGCACTGGGAAGCATTGGAGAGTTGGGAGCAGCTGGCGTTGTAGGGCACTGGGTTGCACTGGAACGCAATGAGACGCATTGGGAGGCACTGGAGTGTCGCAGCAGCTGGCGTCGAAGGTTGCCAGGGTGTACTGTGATGCACTGAGATCCCCTGGGATGCACTGGGAGGTACTGGAATGCACCGGAGAGTGGGAGCAGTTGGTGTGAATTGCTGAGATGTACTGGAATGCACTGAGATGCTCTGGAAGTCACCGGGAGACACTAGGGAACGGGGTGCAGTCGGCAATGAAGAGCACTGGGAGGCACGGGGAGGCACTGGGAAGCAAGGCAGCTGGCGCTGGAGGCACTGAAATGCATTAGGAGGCACTGGGATTCACTGGAAGACATTGGAATGTGGTGGGAGGCGTTGGGGACCATGGGGAGCACAAAGAGTGTTTGGTATGGGGACAGAGGGGCACTGGGTGAGCCAAGGGTTCTGAGGGCGTGAGGCACTGAGGGGAGTAGGCGGCACGGGGGGGCATTTGGGGGTCTCTGGGACTGGGAGTGCAAGGAGGTCAGGTTTAGGGGATTCTGGGGATGAAGGGGGGGTCACGTTGGACCCTGTATCCCCTGCACCCCCTGTATCCCTTGCCCACTCTGAAACTCCTGAATCCTCAGGCTGGGCCGCACTGCACCATCTGTATCCCTTGTATCCTCTGCCCACCCTGCAGTCCCTGTACCCTCCCTCTGCAACCTGAGGTCTTTCTTTGGTGTCCTGAGACATAGCTGTACCACTGACATATGGCACTCTTAACATGTGTCATGCTGTGCACCCCGTGCAGATGTGTCTGTGCATCCCAATGTGTGTTGTGGGGCACATCTGGCAGTGCGCCCCAACACCCAACCATGCTCACCAACACCTGGCCATGCCCACCACCACTCTGCTGTGCACCCTGACACATGGTTGAGCCCCAAAGCGCATGGCCCCTCAACATGTGTCAGACATGCTTTGCATGCCAATCCATGTCCTGGGGCACACCTGGCTGGGCACACCCTGCCATGCACCCTGTCACACAACAGGGCACGACATGTAGTTGTGCACCTCGGTGTGTATTCTGGGGCACATCTGACCGCACAACAGGTACACACAGTCACAGACACAGCCAGGTGCTCACACTGTCACACTCACACGCACACACACACTCTCACACTCACACGCACACACACACACACACACACACACACACACACACACATGCACACTCACATGCACATTCACACTCCCTCCTCCCTGCCCCCCAGGCAGCTCCTGGACAGGGACACCTTCTCCAAGTCGGACCCAAGTGAGTGAGGCAGGGGGGATGGGGTGTATTTTGGCTCTTAGGTGTTTTGGGGAGTCTCTGGGGGGCTTGGGGTTTCTGGGGGTTTTGGGGTCTCTGGAGGGTGTTGTGTGTTCAGGGGATTTTTAGGTCTCTGGGGGGTTTGGGGAGTCTCTGGGGGACTGGGGGGGGTCTGAGGTATTTTGGGAGTATCTGGTGGTTTTGGGGGTTCTCTGGGAGCATCAGTGTCTCTGGGGAGTGTTGTGGTCTTTGGGGTCTCTGATGTGTTTTGGGAGGTCTCTGGGATTGTTGTAATTCTATGAGGTTTTGGGGGTCTCAAGGACATTTTGGAGGGTTCCTGGGGAATTGGGAGCTCTGGGGAGTGTTGGGGTCTCTGGGGATTTTGGGTGGTCTTTAGGGTTTTGGGGATCTCTGAGGGATTTGGGGAGCCTCTGAGGTATTTTGGGGGTGTCTGGAGGAGCTTAGGGGGTTTTGGGGGGAGTTTGGGGGTGTCTCTGAGGTGTTTTGGGGGGGTCTCTGGGGAGTTTTGGGAGTTGCTGGGAGTGGTGGTGTCTCTAAGAGTTTTGGGGGTCTCTGGGGGCACCTGCCTCCCCTGATCCTTCCCCCTGCAGTCTGTGTGCTGTACACACAGCGCCCTGGCAGCCACCAATGGCGGGAGGTGAGTGACCCAATTGGTGGGGGGCAGCCAATCAGCATGTTGGGCTGGCCAATTGGCATGTTAGTATGTACTCAGCCAGCCAATCAGGATGCTGGGGTGCTAGCTGGCCAACCAATCATCAGCATGCTGGGGCAGTGAACAATCAGCATGTCTGTGTGCCAACCAGATGGCCAATCAGCATGTCAGGGATAATGGCAGACAACCAGCCAAGCAGCAGGTAATATTCTGGCCTATCAGCATGTTGGGTTGATGGCCAACTGGCCAATCAGTGTGTTGGAGTGCCAACCAGTTGGCCAGTCACCATGAGCAATCAGCATCTTCGGATGCAGCACATGGACAATGAGCATTCTGGGATGCAGCAGCCATCCAATCAATGTCAGGGGGCAGAGCAATCAGCCAACCAGCATCCTGGGGATCTGGGGAGCATGTCGAGGAGCTGGGCAGCCAGCCAATCAGCTGTCAGCATGCAGCCAGGCCCCGTCCCCCTGTAATTAACAGTGTGTTAATTGCGGGGTAATGAGCAGGGGGTGGGGCGGCCCCGAGGCACAAAGCGGCACCTGGGCCCTCCCCGCCCCTTTCCCACGCATGTTCCCACACGTGCCCCGGCCCGGGCCTGCTGCCCACCCTTGCCCCACCTCCTCCGCCCACATATGTCCTCATGTCCCCAATCTCATATCCACATGTTCCCATGTCCCTGTGTCCCCGTGTTGCTATGCCCCCATATCTGTACGTTCCCATGTCCCCAGTCCCTTGTCCACATGTTGTCATGTCCCTGTCTCTCCATGTCACTGTGTCCCCATATGTGTATGTCCCCATGTTCACATTCTGATGTCCCACTACCCCCCATCCCTATGCCCCCACCCTCATTCCCATGCTCCTGTTTTCCAGTGCTCTTAACACATCCCTGTGTTCCCATGTCCCTGTACCTTCATCCCTATGCCCCCATGTCTCTGCCTCTCCATGTCCCCATATCCCTGTATCCCTATCCCCCATGCCCATATTCTCATGTTCCCGTTCCTATGCCCCCATGTCTCATCATCTCTATGTCCCCATGTCCCTCTGTCCAAACGACCACATCCCCATCTCCCTGTGTCTCCATGTCCCTGTCCCCACCCCATCTTTTCCTGTCACCCCATTATCCCCACTGTCCCCATATCCTCCAGTTTGGCCGGACCGAGGTCATTGACAATTCCCTGAATCCTGACTTCCTGCACAAGTTTGTCCTTGATTATTGCTTTGAGGAGCGTCAGAACCTGCGCTTTGATCTGTGAGTGGCCCCTGTGCCCCCAGTGTCACCCCCAGTGTCAACCCCCTGTTCCCCAGGGTCACCCCCTGGCTACCCTGGCATAGCCCCCCAGGGTGTCCTTACCCCCGTCCCTGTTCCGTCCCCAGTCCTGGACCATTACCACCCTTGTTCACATCCCTGTCCCCATCCTTGTCCCATCCCATTGTCATCCCTATCCTATGCAGCCCCCATTCTGTCCCTGTCCCATTCTGTCCCTATCCACATCCCATCCCTGTCCATTCCATTGTGTCCCTATCCCACCCTGTTCCTTTACCCATCCTTGTCCCATCCTATCCCTATTCTTTTCCCCATCCCATCCCATCCCATCCCATCCCATCCCATCCCATCCCATCCCATCCCATCCCATCCCATCCCATCCCATCCCATCCCATCCCCACACCTAATTCATCCATATTTGTGTACCATCCCTCGCTCATCCCATCCCTCCCACTCCCTGTCCCCCGCCATACCATCCTTGTCTCCATCCCTGTTCCCATCCCTGTCCCATCCAAGCCACCCCCACTTCCTGTTCCATGCCCACATGTCCCCTCTGCCCCCAGGTATGATGTGGACTCCAAGAGCCCTGACCTCTCCAAGCATGTAAGTGCAGGATCAGTCAGCCCTGCTCCCCTGGCCTCCCTGGGATGGGCATCTCCTGGTGACACCCAATATTCCCAATCCTACAGGATTTCCTGGGCCAGGCATTCTGCACCCTGGGGGAGATCATCGGCTCAGCTGGCAGCCGCCTGGAGAAGCCCTTGACGTGAGCCCTCCCCTTTGCCTCAGTGTCCCCATGTCCCACCCCAGCAAAGCCCCTGACGTGAGCCTCTCTTGTGCCCCAGTGTGACCATGTTCCTTCTAGAGAAGCCCCTGACATGAACCCCCCTGCCCCAGTGTCCCCATTTCCACCCCCCTCGAGAATCCCCTCGTTTGAGCTTCCACTGTGGTCCAGTGTCCCCAGAGTCCTCACGGTCCCTATGCACTGCACTGGAGACAAACTCCTGATGGTAGTCCCTCTTGTCCCCAGTGTCCTGTGATCCCTTATGTCTCTGCCCCAGGGAAGGCCCCAATGTGAGCCACCTCCCCCACTGATCCCAATGTCCCCATGACCTCTGCCATGGATAAGCCTCTGACATGAGTCCTGCCTGTGCCCCAGTGTCCCTGAGCCCAGTGTCTCTGACATCACTATGTCCTCTTTGGAGAAAATGCTGGGTTTCTCCAAAACTGGTGTTTTGGAGAAAACTGGGGAACTCAGTGTCTCCATGTGTCCCCTGGAGAAGCCCTTGACATGAATCCTCATGGTCCCAGTGTCCTCATGTCTCCCCAGGTCTCTTTTGGTGTGCCCAGGATGGACCCAGATCCCAGAGCCAGCAGTGGCATTTTGGATGGTGGGGAGGTGGGGGGGGGTGGTCTGGCTTTTTTTTTTTTTTTTTTTTTTCTTCTTGGGAGGGAAGGCATTTTTTGTGGTCTGGCTTTTTCCTGGGATGGTGGCTTTTGGAGGGAATATGGGTTTGGGGGATCTGGCTTTTGAAAGATCTGGTTTTTGGGGGGGATCTGGATTTTGGAGTGATCTGATGTTTTTGGGGTTGACCTTTTCAGGGGCAGTTTGTTTTGTGGGAATTGACTTTCTGGGGAGCTGAATGTCTTTTGGGGACTGACTTTTTTGAGGGGAGAAACAGCTTCTTTTTAGGGTGCTGGAATCTGTGGGGGAGCTGGGTTTTTTTTTTGTAGACTTCCTTTTTTGGGAGGGGGGCTTTTTATTGGGTGGGGATCCCCTCCATCACCTTTCAGCATGTGTCCCTGCAGGATGGGGACAGCCGCCATGCACCCCAGGGGCAGGAGACCTGCCCCAGCTGTCTCCAATGGGTAAGTTTTGGGGTGCTCAGTGCGCGGGGGACCCCCCAGGACATCATGTGTGCCCCGGCTATGCTCACATCTCATCCTGGCAGTGGCATTCTGGGGAAGAAGTGCGGCACCATCATACTCCTTGCTGAAGAGTTGGGAAACTGCCGGGTGAGCCATGGCGGGGCAGGAGAGGGGGCTTAGCTTGGGGACCTCACAATATCGGGGGTGGCTGAGACACACTAGCCTGCAGATGAGACTGCGAGCTGTTAATCCTCACGCTGTGTCCCACCTGTCCTGGATCCCTCCTTCCCTCATGGAGCAGCTGCCCCGAAGGGTCCCACCCCTGAGGAGGGTGCAGGGTGGATGACTCTCCCTGATTCCACCCCTCAGGACGTGGCCACACTCCAGTTCTGCGCCAGCAAGTTGGATAAGAAGGATTTCTTCGGAAAATCTGACCCCTTCATGGTCTTCTACCGCAGCAATGAAGACGGGACGTGAGCAACCCCCCCTCAAAACTGCAGTGACTCTCCCACACCTCAGAGGAGGGCTCAGCCCCAGCACAGGACACCCCTATGTCCCCGTGGGCTTACATTGCCGGGGGTGTCCAAAAATCCTCACTGCACTGTGGGGGTGAGAGACTTGGGGAGTGTTGAGCTGGGGGAGTGACTCCCTTGTACCCCCTTGTCTTCCCCCCAGTTTCACCATCTGCCACAAGACGGAAGTGGTGCGGAACACACTGAATCCCGTCTGGGCGGCCTTTGCCATTCCTGTGCGTGCCCTCTGCAATGGGGACCACGACCGGTGAGTGCCAGGGGACTGAGACCCCCTCTTTGGCCCCAAAAACCTCCTTCTCCCTCTTCCCCCTATCTCTAGGGTCCACTATGATCCCTGAACCCCCTTCCCTCATCTCTGTCATACCCAGGACACCCTGCACTCCCATCTCTGTGGTTCTCTGAGACCCACTGAACCCCCTTCCCCCAATCTCTATGGGCCCTCAGGACCCCCTTTTCCTTCTTTCCCCCATCTCCCAGGTCCTCCAGGAACCCCTGCACCCCATGTCCCCATCTCTCTGGTACCTCTGGACTCCCAGAGCCCCTTCACTCCATGTCCATGGTACCCCAGGATCCCCTTCCCCTCTCTCTGTGTTCCCTCAGAATCCCTTCTCCTGTGTCTGTGGTACCCCAGGACCCTCTTTAATCCCTTCTCCCCAGCTCTGTGGTACCTCAGGACCCCCTGCAGTCCATCCACCTTCTCTGTGGCCCCATGAGGCACCCTTTCCCCCACTTCTGTAGCCACCCGAGACTCTCAGAACCCCTTTCCCTGTCTCTGTGGTACTAGTAGCACACACCCCCCACCCCAAGGGTTACCTGCTTCTGCCTCAGTTTACCCATTTGGGCAATGGGCATCACAGCTATTCCAACTGCCCCGCCCCTCCCCCCCCCCCCCCCAAACCCAACCACGTGAACCCCTCTCAAATCCCAAACCAGTGTCACCAGCTGCTGTCCTAGCAAAAATCTCCTCACACTGCTTTGGCCCCACGTTGGATGTTGCTGTGGCAACGATGGATAAAAATATCCCAAGGAGGAGGACAAGGAAGCAGGAAAAAGCCCACAGAGGCGTCAAAACAAATCCCACAGGGAGTGGGGGTTTGTGTGTGATGGGTCTCCAGAGGAGGGTGGGGGAGGAATGAGATTTGGGGATGTTGGTGACCCCCCCTCTGCCTTGCAGAGCCATCAAAGTGGAGGTATATGACTGGGACCGTGATGGCAGGTGAGCTGTGTGTGGTCCTGGGGACCCCCCACACCCTGGACCTGCACCCCTCAGGTGACAGGGACCCTCATTCCCACCTGCTTCATTCATCTCCCCTGCATCCCCGGGTGATGGGGACCTCTGGTTGTTGGGAATCTCCCCTGGCTATTTGGGACTCCCTGGCTGATGGGAAACCTCCTGGGCAATGGGAAGCCCCCAATCCCCACACCACTGAGTGATGGGGATCCCCCCGGGGAATGGGAACCTCCCTAACTGGACTGATGGAGATCCACCGGCCTTGCAGCCACGACTTCATTGGGGAGTTCACCACCAGCTACCGGGAGCTGGCACGAGGCCAGAGCCACTTCAACGTGTACGAGGTGAGGGGGGATGGGTACATGGGCATGGGAGTTCTGCACCCCCCCATGGGGGTCATGTCCCCACTGCTGCATGCCCCAGGTTATGGAACCCTGTGCTGCACCCCTGTGTGTTTCGGTCTTAACACTGCACCCCTTGGGTGTTACGCTCCCCAGGGTCCCTCTCTCTGCTGCACCTCTGTGTGCTGGGGTCTCTGTGTAGGTGCTACATACCCCAGGATCCCCATGATGCAATCCTGGAGTGTTATGGTCCCCAGGGTCCCTCCCAACCCTGCACCCTGGTGTGCCATATACCCAAGGGTCCCTGAGGTGTCGTGGTGCCCAGGGTGCTCATGCTGCAGCCATAGAGGTTTACAGTCCCCATGATTCCCTGTGCTACAGCCCAGCAGGTTGGGATCTCCACAATGCACCCCTGGAGTGCAGCACCCACAGCTGCTCCCTTGAGGGTACCCAGCTCCCACCATGGATCTCCAGCTGCACTACAATCCCCAGGGTCCCCACATGCACCCATGGGTGTCACAGCCCACCATGTGTTTCTCAAGGTCTGTCTCTGCACCTCAGCACAGTGCTCCTCCCACTGCTGCCCCCCAGCATTTTCTGTGCCCCCCCGTCCCCCTGGATGTGACAGTCCGTTACACTGCTCCCTGGGGCCTCCTGTCCCTGTGAGAAGCAGCCCCCTTCCCTCTCCTCTCATCCCTGCAGGTGGTGAACCCCCGGAAGAAGATGAAGAAGAAGAAGTACCTGAACTCGGGGACAGTGAGGATGGGGATGTGCAGAGGGGGAGGACACAGGGGGAGTGGGCACTTCCTCCCCTAAGTCCCATGTCCACCAGGTGACACTGCTGTCCTTCGCTGTGGAGGCCGAGCACACCTTCCTGGACTACATCAGGGGCGGGTGAGCAGGGAGTCCCCAGCACCTCCAGCTGCACTTTTGAGGGTCCCAAACACCCCCAGCTCCTTCCTTGGGGGTACGCAGCACCCTGAGCTGCTCCCTCAAGGGCAGAGAATCCCCAACATCCCCAGCCTCTACTTCACTGGCAGGGGGGTCCCCAGGACCCCCATCTCCTCCCTTGGAGGTCCCCAGTATCCACTGTTGCTCCCTCAGGGATGGGGCAGGGGTAGGGTGGTGGTGTTCCTGCTATCCTCAATTCCTCCCTGTGGGATCCCCAACACCCCCAGTTGCTCCATTGGGGGGTCCTCGGCACACCTAGCTCCTCCATTGGGGGTCTCAGCACCCCCACCCAGATGCCTCGTTAGGGCCAGGCTGTCCCCACAACCCACAGCAGTTTCACTGGTAGTCCCCAGAGCCCACAATTGCTCCCTTTAGAAGTCTCCACCATTTCCAACATCTTTGGGGTCCCCAACACCCATAGCTGCTCCTTTGGGGAAAGAGGATCTCCACCACCCCTATCTTCTCCATTGTGGGTCCTCAGCACCTCACCCAGATGCTCCCTTATGGGCAGGGGCTCCCCAGCATCCCAAAGTGGTCATCTGGGGCTCCCCAGCACCCCCAGCTACTCCCTTAGGTGCATCACTGACACCTCAGTGCAGGGACACTTGGGGGTGCTCTGAATTGTGATATGGGTGCACCTAGTCCAGCCTGTGGCCCCAGGGGTGCCCCACCCCAAACCCACAGGTCACACCCTATGTCACCCCAAGGCCACTTTACCCCCCCAGGACCCAACTCAACTTCACAGTGGCCATAGACTTCACAGCATCCAATGGTGAGTGGCAGCTATGTCCCCCCTGGGGGATTTATTTGGGGCAGTTGTAACCAGTTTGGTGTTATGGTGGTGTCATTTTTGTCACCAGCTTGGGGACATGGTGTTGTTGTCTTTGTAGTTGTGTTGGGGACGTGATCATGTCTCTCTTGTCACTGGGTTGGGGACCCAGTGGCGTCTGCCTTGTCACTCCCTTGGGTTAGGGTCATGATGGCATTGTCCTTATTGTGGGTTTGGGGCCATGGTAGTGTTATTTTTGTCACTGTACTGGCACTACAGTGGTGTCATACTTGTCAACCAGTCTTTGGGTTGGGAATTTGGTGCCATCATCATCACTGAATTTGGGACAGAGTGGTGCCATTTTTGTCACTGGGTTGGGGTCATGGCAATGTCATCCTTGTCACTGTTGGTTCCATGGTGGTGTCATCCTTATCACCAGCTGTCACCAGGCTGGGGACATGGTGGCATCATCTTTGTCACCAAGTTGGGAATATGGTGATGTCACCCTTGTCACTGGGTTGGGGACGTGGTTGGCATTTGGAGACATGGTGGGATCATCCTTGTCACTGTGTTGGGGATGACATCATCCTTGCCACTGAGTTTGGGCCATAGTAGTGCCATGGTTGTGGGAATGCTGGGGGTGTTTTGGGTGTGCTGGGGGGATTGTGACAGTGCTGGGGGGGCCTGTGGGGATGCTGAGCCCCATGCCTGTGCAGGGAACCCCTCGCAGCCCACGTCTCTGCACTACCTGAGCCCCTTCCAGCTGAATGCCTACAGCCTGGCACTGAGGGCCGTGGGGGACATCATCCAGGACTACGACAGTGACAAAATGTTCCCAGCCCTTGGCTTTGGTGCCAAGGTCCCCCCGGATGGACACGTGTCCCACGAGTTCCCACTGGTGAGGGGCCAAGGCAGGACAGGACTGTGGATGAAGGGTCATGCAGTTCGGAACATGGTGGGATCATCCTGTCACGTTGTTTTGGACATGGAGGGATATTGTCCTTGTCACTGTTGGGGGCTCTGGTAGTGTGATCCTCATCACTGGTCTGGGGCCATGGTAGTGTCATCCTTATCACCAGGTTAGGAAGAGGCTTGGTGTTGTCACTAGTGTAGAGTCATAGTGGTCTCATCATTGATCACAAAGTTGGCATATGGTGTGTTTGAGTTGGATCTGGATTGGGGATGTGATGGTGTCATCCTTATCCTTGGGCTGGGAACATAGTGGCATCATCATTTTGTGACTGGTTTGGGGTCATGGTAGTGTCACCAGGTTGGAGACATGGTAGTATCATCCTCATCACCAGGTTCAGGATGTGGTGGTGTGGTCTTTGTCACTGTGCTGGGCATATGTCCTTGTCACCTATTCTCACTGTATGGGGGGCATAGTGATAACATTTTTGTCACTGGGTTGGGAATGTGGTGCCATTTTCTTTATCACTGGGGATGTGGTGGTGTCATCTGTGTCTTGGGTTGGAAACATAGTGGCATCATCATTTTGTCACTGGGTTGCGGCCATGGCAGTATCATCCTTGACACTGAGTTGAGAACATGTTGGTGTCTCCCTTGTCACCACATTGTGGACATAGTGGGATCATCCTTGTTAGCATTTGGGGGACATGGCAGTGCCATCTTTGCCTGTGGGTGGCGTCCATGGTGTCACCCTGTCCATTGCTGGGGGCTGTGGTGTCACTGTGGTCCTGGTGACCCTGTGGCAGAATGGGGATGCATCAAATCCGGCATGCCATGGCATTGCGGGGGTGCTGGAGGCATATCAGCGCAGCCTGCGCCATGTCCAGCTCTACGGCCCCACCAACTTTGCCCCTGTTGTCAACCATGTTGCCCGGTAAGAGGGGCCCCATGCCCTGGGGTGGGGACCCTGTGCCCTCGGCGTCACGCAGGGTCCCCCTAGCTCAGCGGCCACGGTGCTGGACGGGTCCCAGTACTTTGTACTCCTCATCATCACCGATGGTGTCATCTCTGACATGGCCCAGACCAAGGAGGCCATCGTCAATGTGAGACCCTCATAGTGGCATTGGGGAGGGTGGTGGCACCCTGGGTGCTGGGAACCTTGGACCCTTGGGTGATAGGGGCAGTGGAGAGGGATTGGGGGGTAGGAAAGGTTGGGGACTTCTGGGTGCTAGGGGGTTGAGGAGGAGCTAGAACCCTTAGGGGGTGGGAAGGGGCTTGGACTCCTGGGTTCTGAGGGGTTGGGAGTGGCTGGGACCCTTTGGGTGATGGGGTGGGTGAAGAGGAACTGGGACCCTGAAGCTGAGAGGGAGGGGGTGGGTTGGGACACTTGCATGCTCAAGGGGTGGGGAAGGGGCTGGAAGCCCTGAGTGCTGGGAGGGGGTGTGGACCCCTGGGTGCTGGAGGCAGTGAGGAGAGACTGGGACCATTGAGAGGTGGGAAAGCGCTTGGACCCCTGGGGTCGAGAAGGGGCTTGGACCCCTGGGGTCGAGAAGGGGCTTGGACCCCCGGGGTTTGATGTGTAAGGGTGTCTGGAACCCCTGGGTGCTGCAAGGGGGCTGGGAAGTTCCAGGAACCCCCCCAGTGCCAGTGGGGCGGTCTGAGACCTTTGGGTGTTGGGGGGGATGGTGAGGGACTGGAATCCTTGGGGGAGGGGGTGTTGGCACCCCTGGGTGCTGCACGGAGGCCAGAGGTGGCAGCTCATTTTGTGGCAGCATCATTAAATTTCATGGGACTCCCTTCACCCCCTGGCTCCCTCAGGCTGCCAAATTGCCCATGTCCATTATCATCGTGGGAGTTGGCCAGGCTGAGTTTGATGGTAAGATTTGGGGGCTGGGGGGAACTAGGGGAAGGCTGGGGGGATGGGGGCAGGGTCCCTTGGCCACTGGAACCATGAGTTGAATCTGTCAGCATATGAATGGGCTCAGCATACCCCAGTGAGGGGGCTTGGGGGTTCTGGGTGTGGGGTTGAGAGGGACAAAATGGGATCCCAGCCTGGGGTGGGGGGCATTGGGGTGCTGCTGACTTCCCCCGCAACATCACCCCCAGCCATGGTGGAGCTGGATGGGGACGACATCCGCATCTCTTCCCGTGGGAAAGTGGCTGAGCGTGATATCGTCCAGGTAACCAACCTCACCAATGAGGAATTTGGGGACCCCCTCCCAGCTCACCCAGCAGGATGGTGGTGGGGGGTGCCCTGTGGAGCTCAAATCGGCCCCATCACTCCTGGGGTGCACTTGGTGGGACTGGTGTGGAGGGTGATAAGGTGGTCTGGGACATGGCGGGGTACTGGGATATGGGGATGCACTGGCACATGTAGGGGCACTTCACTGGGAAAAGAGGGTGTCCTTGGACTTGGGACGTATCTTGGAATGAGGGTGCACTGGCACATGAGAGTGTATTAGGATATGGGAGGCACTGAGACATGAAAGAGATAATAGCAAGTGAAAGGAACTTTATTGGGAAATAGTGGAGGAGTTGGAATTGGGATGTCGGGGATGTGCTAGGACACAGAAGAAGTGCACTGTGACATGGGAGGGATGCACTGGGAAAAAGGAGTGCACTGGGGTTTGGAATGTACCTCAGTGGGGGAGACACTGGGACACTGGGTGCACTGGGTACATGGTGGGGGCCTTCACTGGGAAAAGTGGGTACACTGAGATTTGGGATGTACCTTAGAATGGGGGTGCAGTGGGACACAGGGGTGTATTAGGATATGGGGGCACTTTGGCATGAAGGGGGCTGGTACTGGGAAATGGGGGGGGCACTGGAATGTGGGGGGCACTGGGACATGAAGGGGCATGTACTGGGATATGTAGTTGCACTGGGACATGAAGAGGGGGTGTACTAAGACATTTTGGGGGGCTGTGCTGCAAAAAAGGGTGCAGTGAGACTTAGGATGTTCCTGGATGTGGGGGGGAGCCTAGGACATTAGCAGGCACTGGGACATGGAGGAATATTGGAACATTGGAGTGGGGCACTGGGATATGGGATGTACCTGGATGTGGGGGGCACTGGGACACGAGGAGGGTGTGCTGGCAAATGAAGGGAACATGGGGGCACCAGGATGAATCCGGATGTGGGGGGCAGTGGGACATGGGGGGTATTGGGAAATAGGAAGAGACACTGGGATGTGGGGGCTGTGGGAAATGGGAGGCACTGGGATCTGGAGGGGCATTTGGGCTTGGGATGCACGTGGATGTGGGGGTGTCCTGGGACATGAAGAGGGCTGTACTAGCAAATGGGGAGCACTGGCATGTGGGAGTACATTAGGACATGGAGGGGCACTGGGTCATAGTATGTACCTGGATGTGAGGGACACTGGGACATCAGGAATGGGGAGGGGACACCAGAGCTGCTGTGTGTAGGGCACACAGTTCTGGGGCCTTCCTGGCCCTGGACCCCCTAAACTGGTCTTCCCCCCTGTGCGCCCCCCCCCTCCCCCGCCCAGTTTGTTCCATTTCGTGACTACATGACGGGGGGTCCCGGCGCGGGGCTGAGCATGGCAGGGCTGGCACGAGAAGTCCTTGCCGAGATTCCCGACCAGCTCCTCTCTTACATGAAGGCACGGGGCATAAAACCATCTACCCATCCCTCTCATGTCCCCTGAAACCCTTCCACTCTGACTGTCCACACCCAATGCACCATGTCCCTTCATCCTATTCTCTATCCAGGGGTCAAAGGCAGCCATACTCTGTCAGGGACCTGGGACTGGATGTCCCTCTCCTCCTTTCCACAACTTTGGTGTCCCCTCCCCAACCCAGGTTCCTACCACCACACCCATAAACCAGCTTTTAGGTTTCCCGGGGGAATTGGGATGGCGTTGCCTGAGCATTCTTGGCTATGGGACTGCCCCCTATACCCATCCAGGACTGTCCTGCCCCCCAAAAAAGTGGCAGGGGGTCTTCAGCAGCCTGACCAGAAAGCTGGGGTGTGCAGGAGCCTCTACCAAATGTGGAGTGCCCCCCTAGCGTGATGCATGATCCCTCCTCACCTTACCAGCCTCCCCAAATCCATGGTTCCCTTGCATTTCCTGGGCTCATCCCAGTGGGGTTCCCAGTGTTTTTGATGTTCCCCCTTGCCATATCGTATGTGTCCATGTGGGTTTGTATGGAGTTGCCTTAAATTGCAATAAATTATTGTGGCTTTAATTACAGCCCCCTCCCCCAGGATGCTCCATCATCTCCCTAAAAGGGGCCCTGCCTTGGCTCTATGTGTAATCCCCCAGTGTTTGACCCTCCCCAGCTGTGTGACACCTCCCAGGACTGTTGACAACTCCCCTGCTCAGCTGTGTGACTGCCCCACTCCAGCTCTGACCCCTCCCCAGCTGTGATCCCCTCCCCCGCTGTGATCCCCTCCAAGCTGTGAGCCCCTGCCTGCTGTGTCACCCCCTCAACCTGTGCTCCCCCACGCTGTGACACCCCAGCTCTGACCCCTCCCCAGCTGTGTGATCCCCCACACACTGTGTGAACCCCCTCAAATGTATGACCTCTCTGGCTGTGTGACCCTCCCCCCAGCACTGACAGCCCCCAGCAGTGTGATCGTCCCCATGTCTGATATCCCTGGCTGTTTGTGATGCCCCCACATGCTGTAACCCTCCTCAGGCTTTGGCATGGCCCCCCAGCTCTGACCCCTCACCAGCTGTGTGTGACAGCCTCACACTGTGTGACACCTTCTGACTCTGTGTGACCTCTCTGTGTGACCCTGCCCCCACTGTGTGACCCCCAAAATTGCACATACACAGAAACCACCTGGGGCAGGGGAGAGCTAGGTTATTTACAGGACTCTGCACCCCAACTGTTTCAAGGGGGCCCTGGGAAGTCAGGGGACTCACAGAGACCCCATGCCCCAATTCAGGGGGTCATAAAGCCTCTGAAACCCAACGGGGAGATCACAGGGACTCCCACTGGGGGGGTTCACAAAGTATCCACACCCCAGTTAGGGGGCTCAAAATGCCCTCACACTCCACTTTAGGATAACAAAGCACACCCCAACTGTGTCTGTGGGGTCTCATAAAGCCCCCCACTCCAAAGGGGGAGGGGGGGTCACAAAGTGCCTACACTCCAACTTAGGGGTGGTTATAAAACCCCTGCACTCAAATTGAGGGGGTCACAGATACCCCACATCCCAGCTGGGTGAAGTTGCAAAATGCCCATACCCCAGCTTGGGGGTCACAAAGCCTCTGCACTCCAATGGGGAGGTGAAAAAGCTTCTTCCCCCTGGCTGGGAGGTGGGGGTTGTTTTAGGCCCTTGTCTGCCCCCAAAAGAAGTGGCTTTCCAGTGTAAGGGGATTGTACCAGTGCCTAGACCAAACCAGTCAGCAGGTACTAGGGGATAAACCCCATGTTGGGGTGGCTGCTCTTACTCCTTCCCCCCTTCCTGCACCCCTTCAGGCTGCGGGGGGGGGGGGGGGGGGGGGGGTGCCTCCAGATCCCCAAACTGCTTCAAGATTCCATTCTTTATTGCTGCATTTCCCTCGGCCAAGGTCAGCCCCAGGGGAAACCAGCACAGATCCCAGGGGGCACAGACCCTAACTGGCACACCAAAACACGGGGAGCCTCTCTCAGATCAGACAGTGTGAGGGGCCTCATGCTGCTGTGGAGAGGAACAGGAGGGGAGAAAGGCCCTGAGATCCACCATAGCAGGGCTGACACGAGGGGTGTCATCTTTCACCCAGAGGGTGTTAGGGGTTGCTCGTGGAAATAAAACACTCCAAATAAAGGGGGAGGAGGGGCAGATGAAGCCCTGAATATATGTCCCCCTGCAGAAGAGCAGGGAGAGGATCCTTGACTGTTTGGGGGGGGGGGGGGGGGGCACCTTGTTTTGCAAGGAGGCTCTGTCAGTTTGGAGGGGTGCCTGACTGTCTGGGTGGACCGACTGGTGGAGGGGTGGGGGTACCGCTTAGCAAGGCATCTCCAGAAGCTGCTACTCCAGGAAATCCCGAGGAGAGACATAATTGTCATACACCCGAGTTCCTCCACATTTATCTATTGGGCCTCCCCCAAACGCTCACCTCTTTAGAATCAACGTGGAAAAAAAACTTGGGTCAGGATTAGGATTGGGGGTTACGGCTGGGGATTAGCGTTAGTGTGAGGGTTAATTTTCCATTCAGATTTCTGTCTAGAGCTTACTCAGAAATGTTCCGTTGGGGGTTGTCCGTTTCCTTCAGTCACCACCGTACCACAACAGCCTCGGATCGGGGGTGGGATGTGTGCCAGAGTAAGCTCTGCAGCAAAACCCTTCCTCCTAAAAGACGGCAGAACCTTAAAATCTCTTCTCAAGGCCATCTCTGCTGATGAATTTCTGAAAGTCGAAACGTGAGCTTCATCTCAGCCGAATACATAAAATACGGCATGCTCGCGCCACAAAGCACAGCCCCGCTCAGCCCCGTGACGGCCACCCCCGCGCCGCCCTCAGGCCCTGCCCGACGCCTTCGCGCGCTGCCTCCCCGGCCGTGCCGCGCCTGCTGCCGGCGCTGCGCCTGCCTACGGCCCTGAAACCACTGCAATCACCGGCGCGCTGCTGTGCCTGCTGGGCGCTCGTATCGACATTCCAAAGGGACTTTGCATGTCCGCCCGCCCTTGGCCCCCTGACCCTGCTCTTGGCCCCGCGCCAAATCCACTTCGCTCCCGGGCTCGGCGGCACCTCTCCGCCGCCCGCTCCTCTCCTCCTTGCTGCGTTTGGGTTGACCCGAAGCTGCTGGAGCTCCAGGAGCATTTGGACACTGCTCCCAGGGATGCACAGGCTGCCATAGTTGGGCTGTCTGTGCAGGGCCAGGGGCTGCACTCCATGATTCCACTGGCTCCCTCCCAGCTCAGCCCCTTCTGCAATTCTCACCCTTTGGCTCAGCTTTTGTGTCCACTGAGGCCCTGGCAAAGCTGATGGGGGCAGGCAGGACCGGTGACAGCCCCAGCGTTCCCCTGTCTGTGACACCCCAGCGGTGACAGCCCCAGCATTCCCTCCCTGGAGATGCTTCAAGGGATGTGTCCACAGCTGCGGCCAGTCAACGGAACTGACCGGCCAATGAACACCCCCAGCCTGGGCTCGGGGAAGGTCCCCCTGGCGACCTCCACAGTGCCACAGGCAAGTGTCAGATACAGTTACATAGGTCTGCCCAGAGCTGACAGGGAAGGTTCATAAAAAACAAAAAAAAACACCAAGAAAAAGATAACTCCACCCTGCAGAGCTGCTCCCTCATTCTCTAGTTTCACCTGCACACACAGAGGACCTGAGACTAAAAGCAATGAACTCAGGCACATATGCAGTAAAAGCAGCTTGGGGACAGCCTTGCAGCAGGACTCTTCTCATCCCAGTGAAATAGGCCCCTTGGCAGGCAGCTCTAGGGCCTTTGGAAAGGGCAAGGGTCAGAGCCTCAGCCTACAGGGAAGAAAAGGGCTCTGAATTGCCTGCCCTTGGCACATAAACCCTGCTCCCAGGCTGCTTCACACACAGGATTTATCTGGAGGACTGCAGAAAGCTGAGACTCAGCTCTGGCTTTTCCATGTCCCGTGCCATAAAGCTTGCCTGGGAAAAGAAATTTAGGGTCAGCTCTGCTGGCACAATCCCTTCTGGCCCAGGGTAGAGTGCCAGGAAAGTCTTTCCATGCTGAGGCTTTGCTGCAGTCAAGGAAAGCTCCTGGCTCAGGATCACCTTTCCTGCTCAGTCAGACCCTTTGAGTGCCCCAGCAGCAGGAAATTGCCAGATCTGGGTGGTACCAGTCCTGGCAAATGCCAGACTTGGACATTGCCAGCACCGGCAATTTGCCATATCTGGAAGCCTGGCACCTGGGCACAGTGCCAACAAACACCAGATTCCAGGTGCTGGTGAGCACCAAATCTGGATTCCTTCCTTCCTTCCTTCCTTCCTTCCTTCCTTCCTTCCTTCCTTCCTTCCTTCCTTCCTTCCTTCCTTCCTTCCTTCCTTCCTTCCTTCCGCCACTTCCTTCCTTCCTTCCTTCCTGAAGTCCTCTACTGCCAGGCCTTGGACACATCTAGGTGTGGAAATCTTTAAAATAAGAGGGCTATGAGAAAGCTGCAAAAGGCAGACATAAACAACAGTAGAACTGTGCTGGAACTAAGCAGTAGCCATAAGATTTGTCCGCAAAAATGTTACATGAGATGCAGAATATAAGAATAAATAGAACAATGCACTGTGTATTAACGCTTGGCTTGGATAATTTCCGAAGCTACAGAAAAGAATATCTAGCAAGATATTAGGAAGATCTAAGCTTAATAATGGAGCACCGTGCATTATATTTTAAAAGGCTCTGAAAGCTTGCAGGGTCCTACTATCTGGCTACTTTAGTTTTGTAGAAATGCAGCAAAGTTTGCAAATTAAAAACCTTACAAGCTAATTACAATATAATTACAATTTAACTACAAGCTAATTACCAAATAATTACAAGCTTAGCATCACACAGTCTGCCAGGGTGAGTGGCCCAAAATGGGGGCCATTTTCCAAGGGAAAAAGGAGATATTGCCTCAAGGTCTGCATATGAGGACATGGGGGGTTTGGGGCCCTAAGGACTTGCAGGCTCCTCGATGATGGTAGTTTTATTTTTTGAGAAATCCAGCAAAATTTGCAAATTTCTAGCTTGGGTGGCCAGGGTCGGCCAGGGGTGAGTGGCCGCAAAGAAAGGCAATTTTCCAGGGAAAAAAGAAGCAATTTGCCCAGGGACTGGCCATCAGATGAAAGGTGGCGTTTGGGGCTCTAAGGAATTGCATTGGCCTAGTTTCTGACCACTTGAGTTTTGGAGAAATTCAGCAAAATTTGGAACTATCTATCTTGAGGGGCCAGGCTCGGCCAGAGTGAGTGGCCACAGAGGCCATTTTCCAGAGGCAAAAGAAGTCATTTGCGCAGCGTCTGGGCATCAGATGAAAGGTGGCGTTTGGGGCTCTAAGGACTTGCAGTGGCCTAGTTTCTGATCACTTGAGTTTTGGTGAAATCCAGCAAAATTTGGAATTCTGTAGCTAGGATAGCCAGGCTCGGACAGGGTGAGCAGCTGCAAAGAGAGGCCATTTTGCAGGGGAAAAAAATGTCATTTGCCCAGAGTCTGGGCATCAGCTGAAAGTTGGCGTTTGGGGTCCTAAGGACTTGCATTGGCCTTGTTTCTGACCACTTGAGTTTTGGAGAAATCCAGCAAAATTTGGAAATATCTAGCTTGAGTGGCCAGGCTCAGCCAAGGCAAGAGGCTGCAAAGAGAGGCCATTTTGCAGGGGAAAAAGAAGTCATTTGCCCAGGCTCTGGGCATCACATGAAAGCTGGCCTTTGGGGATCTAAGGAATTGCATAGGCCTAGTTTCTGACCACTTGAGTTTTGGAGAAATGCAGCAAAATTTGGAAATTTCTGTCTTGGGTGATCAGCGTGGGGCAGGGCGAGTGGCCACAAACAGAGGCCATTTTGCAGGGGAAAAAGAAGTAATTTGCCCAGGCTCTGGGCATCATATGAAAGCTGACCTTTGGGACTCTGAGCACTTGCTGGGACCTGGATTCTGACCACTTGAGTTTTGGGGAAATCCAACAAAATTTGGAAATTTCCTCCTTCAATGGCCAGGTTTGGCCAGGGTGAGTGGCCGCAAACAGGAGCAATTTTCCAGTGGCAAAAGAAGTCATTTGGCCAGGCTCTGGGCATCAGATGAAAGCTGGCCTTTGGGGCCTCTGAGGACGTGGATTGACCTGTATTCTGACCACTTTAATTTTGGAGAAATCCAGCTAAATGGAAATTTCCGTCTTGGGTGGCCAGGGTGGGCCAGGGTGGGACACGGCGACTGGCCGCAAAGAGAGGCCATTTTGCAGGGGAAAAAGAAGTCATTTGCCCAGGCTCTGGGCATCCGATGAAAGATGGCGTTTGGGTTTCTAAGGACTTGCATTGGCCTAGTTTCTGACACCTTGAATTTTGGAGAAATGCAGCAAAATTTCGAAATATCAAGCTAGGATAGCCAGGCTCGGACAGGGTGAGCAGCTGCAAAGAGAGGCCATTTTGCAGGGGAAAAAAATGGCATTTGCCCAGGGTCAGGGCATCAGGTGAAAGCTGGTGTTTGGATTTCTAAGGACATGCATTGGCCTAGTTTCTGATCGCTTTAGTTTTGAGGAAATGCAAGCAAAATTTGGAAATGTCTAGCTTGAGTGGCCAGGGTCAGCCAAAGCAAGAGGGTGCAAAGAGAGGCCATTTTCCAGGGGCAAAAGAAGTCATTTGCCCAGGCTCTGGGCATCAGATGAAAGGTGGATTTTCGGGATCTAAGGACTTGCATTGGCCTAATTTCTGTAGACTTGAGTTTTGGAGAAATGCAGGAAAATTTGGAAATATCTAGCTTAGGTGGCTAGGGTTGGCCAGGGCCCGTGGCTGCAAAGAGAGGCCATTTTGCCAGGGAGAAAGAAGTCATTTGCCCAGGGTCTGGACATCAGACGAAATCTGGCCTTTGGGGCTTTAAGGATCTTGATTGGCCAAGTTTGTGACCACTTGACTTTTGGAGAAATCCAACAAAATTTGGAATTTTACGTCTTCAATGGCCCGGGTTAGCCAGGGCGAGTGGCCGTAAAGGGAGGCCATTTTTCCTGGGGAAAAGACTCATTTCCCCCGGGTCTGGGCATCAGATGAAAGCTAGTGTTTGGGGCTCTAAGGATCTGGATTGACCTAGATTCTAACCACTTGAGTTTTGGAGAAATCCTGCAAAATTTGGCAATTTTCTTCTTCAATGGCCAGGTTTGGCCAGGGTGAGTGGCCGCAAACAGGAGCAATTTTCCAGTGGCAAAAGAAGTCATTTGGCCAGGCTCTGGGCATCAGATGAAAGCTGGCCTTTGGGACTCTTAAGGATTTGGATTGGCCTGGATTCTGACAACTGTAGTTTTGGAGAAATCCAGCAAAATTTGGAAATTTCTAGCTTGAGTGGCCAGGGTCAGCCAAGGCAAGTGGCCGCAAAGAGAGGCCATTTTCCAGGGGCAAAATAAGTAATTTGCCCCGGCTCTGGGCATCAGATGAAAGCTGGCATTTGGGGCTTGAAGAACTTGCATAGGCCTAATTTCTGTCGACTTGAGTTTTGGAGAAATGCAGCAAAATTTGGAAATTTCTGTCTTGGGTGGCCAGGGTGGGGCAGGGCGAGTGGCCGCAAAGAGAGGCCATTTTTCAGGGGAAAAAGAAGTCATTTGCCCAGGCTCTGGGCATCAGATGAAAGCTGGCCTTTGGGGCTCTGAGCACTTGCTGGGACCTAGATTCTGACCACTTGAGTTTTGGAGGAATCCAGCAAAATTTGGAAATTTCCTTCTTCAATGGCCAGGTTTGGCCAGGGCGAGTGGCTGCAAAGTGAGGCCATTTTGCAGGGGCAAAAGGAAGTCATTTGCCCAGGCTCTGGGCATCAGATGAAAGCTGGCCTTTGGGGTCTGAACACTTGCTGGGACCTGGATTCTGACCACTTGAGTTTTGGAGAAATCCAGCAAAATTTGGAAATTTTCTTATTCAATGGCCAGGTTTGGCCGTGGCGAGTGGCCGCAAAGAGAGGCCATTTTGCAGGGGAAAATGAAGTCATTTGCACAGGCTCTGGACATCAGAAGAAAGCTGGCCTCTGGGGTTCTGAGCAGTTGCTGGGACCTAGATTCTGACCACTTGAGTTTTGGAGAAATGCAGCAAAATTTGGAAATTTTCCTCTTCAATGGCCAGGTTTCGCCAGGGCGAGTGGCCG